TTTTTTAAGATAGTGGTTATTATGTGTCAGTGGGGTCATCACTCGAGGTGGACGTGGGCTTAGAGTGGTCCGGAGTGACGTAGCGGGTGCGGGGTGGACGCCTGAGTAGCGCGCGGGTGGCGGGAGAGGTGTAAGTAGGTTTTGGGGGGGTTGGAAAAGTGAATTTTTCATTTTTTCCCAGTTTGCGAAGGGCCAAGTATGAGGTAGTAAAAGGTTTTCGGGGAAGGCTTGCCGCGGCATTCGCGATACACGGGCGCTAAGTGGGCGCGGGCGCAAGGTGGGGAAGGTAAGATGGAGGGCGAGGGCGGAGGGGACGGTCCCCGGACGGGGGAGTCTGCGGGAGGATCCTCTCGGTAGGACTCGTGCGCGAAATTCGGTAATCGGACGTTTTTTGTCAGTTTTTAAGCGCAGATGATGGAACGTCGCGTTTAATTAATGATTTTCCAGGAAATTTGGCAACGCCGCACCCGATCGCCGACATCCCCGGACTCGCGTCGAGGATCCTCTGATTAGGACTTGTGCGCGAAATTCGGTAATCGGGGGTTTTTTCCAGTCTTTTAGAGTAAATTATGCAACGCAGCGTTTAATTACGCATTTTCGAGTAAATTTGGCAACGTCGCGTTTAATTAGGGATTTTGCAGGAAATTTGGCAACGCCGCATCCAATCAGCGATCTCCCCGGGCTCCCGTCGAGGATCCCAAAGACATAAAGACGGAGCGCTAAAAGCAAAAAATGAAGCTACTTTCTGACTGCCTCTACTATTGGCTAGAGGATTGGCGGCGAAATCGGGACAAGTTTGAAATTCAAATAAGGGGCGGGAAAGGGATAAATTTGCGTAATTAAAGTATTTTACGTTGATTCTTTCTTAAATTCACTTACCCACATATTTATTTTAACTTTAGATTATATTTGGAAGCTGTTTGTATTAATTTCACTTTCCAGATAAGCCCTCTCTCTATTTCTATGGAAAACAGACGCTCGACAGGTTTGAACCCGCTGCCCACGCGTGGAAGTGACGCGGCCGTAAGCAGAAGTATCAGAGGAGCGTTTACGGGTTTTTTAAAAGTAATTAAAGTAATTGTCAGTCGGACAATTTTAGAAAATTCGGATCTAGTAAGGTTTTTGAATGTTTAAAAACCAATTCCGTGACACAAGATTTGTTTGTTCTTTTAAATCATTAACAAATGATGAAGCACCCACGTGAGCGACTTAAGTCCTCGTTAAGTCGCTATGCCGGTCGAGATACTAAGTTTGTGTTAAAGTGATATTTTGTTTTTTCTGTGTGGTTAATAATGACTCTCCGGCTTCAGAAACTAAGGAAAGCATCAATCTCGGTAAGTAGAACTCGGAAATTTCAAATGGTCAATTAACTATTGGAGGCACTTTCATGCCTGTAAGGTGAGCAATTTCAGGACACATGTGCCTCCAAGTACACCTTACACTTTGGTGTTATACTCAGCAAAATTAAGAACTGCGGTGGTCTGCCAGTGCGCGTTAAGCCACACAAGAAACTAGTGACACTATCAGTATGACAGAATTAATTATTATTTGGACCACATTTTGAAATAAGGAACCACAATTTTTGGCTCATTTTAGAAACAACATATATGCCATTGGTTCCCCTATGCAGGAAGATGCTTTTATAGAAGAGCTAAAGATAGTAGCTCCTTAATGCAAAATGTAATCCATATGCCAGATTATCAGTGCCACTGTACTGGGAGGTACTGCAATATTTTCTGCATTGCACCTTGGAAGATTTTCTGAATAAAAATTATGATAAGAAAAGGTGTAAGAACTTCTGCGACTAAGTCCTCCATCAAAGGTAGAAGTACTGTACGTATCAGTTGCTAATATTACTTCCTCTCGATGTTTGAGGTAAGCTTAACTGCACTTGGAACAATTATTGTCATTTGTGGATGTATGTGCAGTGTTTTCATGCACCGACTTCATCATTGTTAGCGGCACGGAGCCAAAACAGAAATTGATCTTTGTTTTCGCCCTGCAGAGCTGTTCAACAATTACCGCCATTGATCACCCTCGTTTTTTTTCTTGGCCATTCTATTCCAAACGTCATTCCACAAATCTACTTGAATGATTTATAACTCTAGACAGCCCATTTGTGAATCTGCCAATGAGCCATAGCGAATCCGCAAGTTAATACAGAGCTTTCTAAATAATGAAAACCTACCTTTAGCCAGTGGAAGCAATAAGCACAGAGTTATAGCATCACTCAGTGTGAGGCAGTAGTACCACAAATTATTTTGAGTTATTAACATAAAATCATTGGCTCAGCAAGGAACTAGACGCAGACAAGATGGAAAAAGGTGAGAGCATTGGTGTGAAGTTCAACGTTTCTGATAAATCAAAGCATTGGCAACTCGCAAAAAATCTTTGGTTGCAATCATTCCTTGAAGCTTTAATTTTCTGGCAATGTTAAAAAAAACTTGGCATCTTTCCTTTTCAGGAGAAATTAAAATCTTGCTTATTTTGAACGTATTTCTAAGAGATAGAACTAAGCACCAATTTGAGTTCGTTTTGAGGATTTTAGAATGCCGGATAGTGCTTTTGGCTAAACATTGCTATGCGCCATGGGAAAGCTGGTGACCATGGGATGGAATGAGATTGCCTTTTCCCTCTTCAGCTACAAATCTTACTTAAACTAAATTAGAACGGACCAAATCTTGGTCCGCTCACATACTGATGATGAAACTGCGAGAGTGCTCGTCTCAGTTTTTGACGTTGCAAACTTCCTGTTACACTTCATTTACATCGTGGAAAGCTATACCAACCATCTTTTTTTTTTAAACTGCAGTAATTTTTCTTCTTTAAATATAGAATACTCAGTGAAAATTTAAAGATATGATGTTGGTTTGGCTTCCTTCTGAAAAGTAAAATAGGAGGGGAGATTTTTAAACTGAGAAACGAATGTTTGCAGTTTCATCATCAATATGGAGGATTTCTTGGTTCAGGCAATAAAACGATTTTTTTGGAATGAGATATCAGTCGTCTCAAGAGAGAATTTTTTCATAATAATTTCTGAAAAAATTAGACACCACAGCTCATTCTTTGTTGCAAGATATGAGCTGGAAAGAATAAGCTGGAAGTTATTTTGTGTCAAAGCTTCAATTTTATTTTCTTTCCTCACTTTATATGCCCTCCTTTGAAAGTGACCAAAAATATTACTTGAGTCCTTGATCCAAAATACCCTTCAAGTAACTTACTGAACATGAGGCAATTTTAAAAATCAGATTTGCATCTATGAATAATTATTTATTAACAAAGCACAATGTAGACATTTAAAATAATATAAGCGTGTCAAATTACAGGTTTGAAAATGGTTGTCGTCTGCTGTGTTCCTGGTTGTAGATTTCGATCAGGGCAAAAAACTTACGAACAACAAGCGTTCGAGAGAGAGAATGGATGTGTTACATTTTTCAGGTACGTACAAATATGTTTCCTCATGCTTCACTGAACAGTCTGCAGGGAATGATAAATTCATGATTTCAAGAAAGTCTTGTACCGATGTTCTATAAGCCTGCGAGTCTCAGGTGATTGAAATTGTTTTTTAATGAAATCTATGGATACAGCTCCTCATAATTTTCACTTGATGACTAAAGAAAAATTTTCAATGGCATTGCTGATAAACTTTTTTGGCTATTATTTTCATTCATGTTACTCACATTTTGTTCTCATCAAAAATTATTATGAAGGATTGAATGCAGATGGAGGAATGTGTTAAGTACCTCTCAATTTTTATTTAGGGATTTCCACTACCCCAGTAATTTATCAGTTATTTGCAGCTCCCAATCATTATTATTAGTAATATTTGATTTAATTATGTTTCACTTTTGAGCTTCCAGCGGAAATCATATTTTTTATACCAGCCTCCCTCATGACTCACGGCTAATTGAAACTGACAGTGAGTCAAAGCAAATACATAATGTTAAATTACAAGTTGGAGGATGAGGGCAAAGATTTCTGACAGACAGGTGGAGCCTTGCCAAGTTGAATTTCCTGCGGACCGAGAGTGATTTTAATTGAGTAATTTCCAGTTCAGCAGCATTTCTCTTAAGCATAGCTCAATCTGGCAAGATTTGACTTTCTTTGGTTGAAATGAGTTTACTGTGGAATTTTTTGGTGAGGATTGTAGTCCTTACAAAAACATGAATATTTATGTATGCTTCATTGAGATTGAGCAGGGGCAAGCAACCATAATGGAGGGTAGATAATTCAAGGACAGAAATATGACTCAGTATTATCTCTTCATTTTCAATGAGTTCAATTCCTTCCCAACGGATATGAGGAGAAAAAGATTTAAGAAATTAAGAAATGATGAATATACAAGTGTAGGGAATGAAAATGACTTTATAGAGGCTGCTCCAGCTGAACAGATTGTGTATAGAATTACAAATAGCTTTTCAAATTATCACTTAAATATTTTTAAAAAGCTTACTTGGATAAGGGAAAGAATCACAAAAAAATTCAATGTTTTACGAACATAGAAACGTGACTCATTCAGTATAAAACATCGATCAAAACTTTACAAAATTTTTTTTAAAAAAAATGGCAGTAACACAGTGAAAGTAATTAGTGCACATTTTGTCCACAGGTTACCGACGACACGTGATGAAAGGAGGAGATGGTATGCAGCAATGAAGAAGCAGCTGCCACATAAGTACACGGCAGATAAGATTTGTTCCAAACATTTCTCAGTGGATAGCTTCAAACGCCGTAACGATGGTGTACTTGAATTGAAAGATGGGGCATGCCCATCTATCTTTGATGCTTCAACAGATGGCGAGCAGGAGGTACTTGTTAGCTATTTGTAATAACTACAAGGGTCGTCCAGAAAATAAGTTTACCTATTAAATATCACTCCTAAACTAAGCTAGAAAGAGGAAATCTTTAAAAAGCGTTGGAAAGCCACTACTCTCAGTTTCGTAACGCACTATAGATTTTTAAAGTTGGTTCATTAGAACTGTAGAAAAAAGGGTTTTTCTGAACCTAACTCTTCTCCGTGCAGGTCCAAAATTTCACTAAGCGTCATCCGCAAGTGAGCTACTGTTTGTATCGCTCACCGCAAAAAAGTGGCTTAAAGTGGTGTTAAACATGTTAAACATAAGAAAGGACTTTTTCAACTGGAAAATAGCAGGATTTACTTTGCGTACCTCAATATCAGTTGCATCCAAGAAAAATTATTATTAATAATATTGTATTTTTTTTTATTTATTTTTTTTTTTTTATTTTTTTTTTATTTTTTATCTCACGGGATTTCTCCTGGTATTGAGAACCCAAAACGAGTCATGGACTAGAGTCTTGGATCCTTTTCATGCCCTAACTATTACAATTTTTAAGAATTGAAAACTAAAAAAAACGAAAGGAGAAATAAGAGAGATGAAAAAGAGAGGACTATTCCAAATTAAGGAAACTCCGAATTATTCTGCATACTTATTATTATTATGTTCTCGTTTCTCAATTCACAGCTCGAGGCCAGTAGATATTTAGTCCTCCCCCAGCAATTCAATATGCAAAATAGAGTCCTTAAATTTAAAATTGGAGTGAAAAATTCAAAATTGGGATGAAAACTTTAAAATTGGAGTAAAAAACTTAAAATTGGAGTTGAAAATTTAAAATTTGAGTTAAAAATTTTAAATTGGAGTATAAATTTAAAATTGAAGTTTAAAATGCAGGTTAATTTTTCGGTTGGTGGTAACTATCCATCGCCCAGAACTCACCTTACAATCCTGCAGCTTCCTAGCAACGCTGTTTTCTGTAATTGTTGATACAGCTTCTCTCTAAGGTTGACCTTCCTAAGACTATCAAACAATTTCGTAGGAATCTCCCCTGTTGCTCCAATAATAATAGGTACAATTATTACTTTGTCCAATTTGCAGAGGCACTTGATTTTGTCTGCTAAAGGCATGTACTTGCTTATCTTCTCAGCGTAAGCGCTCTGGATATTAACTGCCAACAGCATAGCGACGTCGATTATAAAGGTAGTTTTGGTATCTTTCATCGTGAGCACTATGTCTGGGATTTTATTAGGAATGGTTCCATGGGTACGAATCTTCCTGTTCCAGTAGGGGCAGCATATATCATTTTCTTTAAAATATTTTCTTTTCATATTATTATTATTTTTTATTATTATTATTATTATTATATTATTATTATATTATATTATATTATATTATTATAATAGTTTACTGAAATTTTGAAGGTAACTCTCTGACTGAGTTGTTCATAAGCTTTCAAATTATTCTGCCCGATCTCCAAGGAATTTTGTCAAAGATGCATCACTTGGAAAAATATGCAGCCATTACAACTTCGTTACTGTAAATGAATCCGAAATGGAGCAGCTAGGGTCACCTCTCTAGGCGAAAGAATGAATCATAGAGCTCTATTCACACACTGAAAACAAATTTTGCATTATAACTCTACGATTTTACCAAATGTAGCCTAACATTTCCATGTACTGCAGTCCAAACCCACCAATAATCGAAGTAAAAACAATCAAACGTGCAATTTTCTAGTTGAAAAATGTGCTCACTTATGTTTTACATGTTTTTCACCACCTCTAGGCCACTTTTTTCTGGTAAGCAATAGATACAGCAGCTCACTTGCTGATGACGCTCCTTGAAATTTTGGACCCATGCGGAAAGGAGGTGGGTTCAGAAAAATCCACTTTTTAAGGTTCTATTGAGCCAAATTTAGAAATATACAGAGAGCTGAGGATACTGGCTTTTCAACAGTTTTTACAGATTTTCTCTGTCTGTCTTGGTTTAAAAGATATTGAATTGTAAACTTACTTTCTGGACGATTGTCGTATATTCTTTTTCTCATTTCTCCTGCATGGCTTCTGATTCTTAACATGATCACCTTGATGGACCTCTCCAAACTGGAGAGGAATCGCACAGGTTCCTGGAATAAGATGAGACAATTGAGATAACAGTTCTGAGAGAAGAAAATTCAGGACATTCTTTAAGAAAAAGTGAGCATTTATTACGAAAAAACACAGATGATGACTAACTAAAATGCTGTTCCAAAATTGTTGCAAGGGGCATAAGGATGGTGAAACTTCTGAACCATACATGGATCCTCACTGTAGTTTTTGAAAATTTCCACAAATATTTTATTTTTTCCAAAGAATATCACTCAATACTTTTGTGCAAAATTTTCACGATTATTAGATTTTTATTGAGATAGCAGAATATGACAGGAGATTTGTAATAAGATAAATCAATTTACATGGATTGGTAGTTTCACCATCGATAAATAGCTTCCACTTGCTTTAATTATTTCAATTTTAGAGAAAGAATGTCTGATTCTGAGTGAGATATGGTAAGCCCAAAAGATTGGTCTGCAACATCAGTGATCAACTGAGGGACTTGGAGGACAAGGCGCATCAGTGCAGTTTTTGCTATTCCAAGAATTACGGTTTCGAAGTTTCAGGATTGCAGAGCTCCTTATGGCAGAGAGAAAGTTCGAACTCACTTTTTGATGCTTAAAAATTGATAATTGGGAGTGATTTTTCCCCAGAATGTGTGCTAAGACTAGTTTCAGTAGAAATCATTGATACCTCATTTTTTTCAAAACTACTTATGCACCTCGTCTTCCAAGCCCCTCAACTATTCAAAACACTAATGGAAATTTCTAAGGTGCATTTTCAGCTTTCACTCATACCTTTAACTTGTTATCAATTTGATTTAGTTAAAAATAACTATTTAATTTATTTCATTACAGGTTGCTGGGAATGTTGTGTGTTGTGTGTTATGTTGTCCTGAACCTAAGAGGCCTACTTCAGATGTGGGATTAAACAAGGAAAACGAAACTCCTGAAATAGGTGGATTGCAAACACCATGTAGACCTAGGATTCTGGCTCGATCAAAATCAGTTGCCAATAAGGATGAAGAGCTACAAATACACCGGCCTTCTCCTGGAACAACAGCAGCTTATTCAGCCAAAGTAGGTACGACAAGGAAACCACTGAAAGTTACCAATGTAAATCTTGTCAATTGTGTTAGTTTTCATAAGAGGGTGCCAAGTATTACACCTTCTGCAGGAGCCAGTCAAGCCAACAATTCAGGTATTAATCGTTTGCTGAGACATGAGCCTTCAATCCTCTGCAAAAAGAGACGTTCGTTGGACCCACTTCAGCACCTAATTGAAAATAAATCCAGCCAATGTAAGAGGAGCAAAACAACAATGCTTGAAGAAAGTAGTATCATCAATTTAAAGCGGCCTTCAACTCTGAGAATGCAGCATGATGATATTCTTCAGCCGGTATTGTTGGAGACTCCGCCAGAAATTACAGAAAGCGAGGAGAGACCAGACACTTTTGTGTGTGACATTCCGACAACCTCACTGCCTTCAACTCTGAGAATGCAGCATGATGATATTCTTCAGCCGGTATTGTTGGAGACTCCGCCAGAAATTACAGAAAGCGAGGAGAGACCAGACACTTTTGTGTGCGACATTCCGACAACCTCACTGCCTTCAACTCTGAGAATGCAGCATGGTGACATTTTTCAGTTGGTATTGTTGGAGACTCCGCCTGAAATTACAGAGAGCAAGGAGAGACCAGACACTTTTGTGTGCGACATTTCGACAACCTCACCGCTTTCAACTCCGAGAATACAGCATGCTAATATTCTACAGCCAGTATTGTTTCAAACTCCACCTGAAATTACAGAAAGCGAGGAGAGACCAGACACATTTGTGTGCGACATTTCGACAACCTCACTGCCTTCAACTCCGAGAATGCAGCATGCTGATATTCTACAGCCGGTATTTTTGAAGACTACGCCTGAAAGTTCAGAAAGTGAGGAGAGACCAAACACTTTTGTGTGCGACATTCCGACAACCTCAGCATTTGAGCCCTTACCTACCTCTCAAAGTGTTCCTAGAAATAATATGCCACCCAAGACCTCATTAGATTGTGACACTCCCTGCGTTCCGACAACCTCAGCATTTGAGTCCTTACCTACCTCTCAAAGTGTTCCTAGAAATAATATGCCACCCAAGACCTCATTAGATTGTGACACTCCCTGCGAAATTCGACTGAAGAAGATTCTTGAAAAAACGAGACAACAGAATAAAAAGTTAGCCAAAAAAATTAGAATCCTAGAACAAGGGCGAAGACGATCAAAACGCAAGATACATTGCCTGAAACAGATCATTAAACAAAAAGGAAAACAACAATTGATTACAAATGAGGACATGGAGACTCTGAAGAAAATGGGTAAATTTAATGAGGAGTTCCTTGTGCGTCAAATTCAACACCTAAAAGGACTCAGCATCCTGCGAAAATATGGACCAGATCTTCGGGCTTTTGCTTGTACACTTCATTATTACTCTCCAAGAGCTTACAAATTTGTAAGAGAGAAATTTCGAGGAAGTTTGCCTCACCCTAAAACGATTACAAGTTGGTACATGGGGATTGATGGTCAGCCTGGCTTCACCAAGGAAGCCTTTAAAGCACTGGCTGCCAAAGTTAAGTCTAACCCACGGCTAAAGCTGCATGCTGCATTAACTAGTGATGAAATGGCTATCAGGAAACATGTCGATAAGAATTTTGAAGGCTACGTCGACATGGGCGAAGGGACTCATAGTGAAGATCGTGTGATTGCATCAGAGGCCTTTGTTTTCCTGCTGACTGCAATCAACGGCAGCTGGAAATTACCTGTTGGCTATTTCCTGGTTCATGCACTGAAAGGTACAGAAAAAGCTGCATTGGTGACGAAATGCTTGACGCTGACTCATGAGGCAGGCGTAAGAGCCCCTACATTCACTTTTGATGGAACCGCTGCCAATTGGACTATGGCACGAACTTTAGGTTGCAGTTTCAGACTGAATGATTTCCGGCCATGGTTTGATCATCCGTCAACGAAAGAAAAAGTATACGTTTTTCTTGATCCGTGTCACATGGTGAAACTTGTTCGCAATACTTTTGCTGACAAGGGAAAGGATGAAGAAGAGGAAGAAGAAGTAGAGGGAAACAAGCTGGAGAAGGCACAGCTAGTGGAAGAAGAGCTATGCAAAGAGGTGGAAGGAGAGCTATGCGAAGAGGAGGAAGAAGAGCTATGCGAAGAGGAGGAAGAAGAGCTTTGCGAGGAGGAGGAAGAAGAGCTATACAAAGAAGAAGAAGAAGAACAGTTGACCAAAGGGATAAGGAAGAGGAAGAAAGTTTGGAAGGAGAAGGGATTGTTTAACTCTTCTGGTGGGAGAATTTGTTGGAGCTATGTAGAGGCACTGCATAAACTCCAACAACTCGAAGGAGTTCACGCAGCGAATAAGATTACAGGTCAACATGTGCACTACAAGCGACAAAAGATGAAGGTGCGCCTAGCTGTACAAACACTGAGTCTCTCAACGGCAAAGGCCATTAAATTATGCCGAGAAATGGGCTTGGAGGAGTTTCAAGGAAGTGAGGCAACTTGTGAGTTCCTAGAAAAATTTGACACTCTCTTTGATATACTCAACTCAAAAAGTGAGGACGCAACCGGTTTCAAAAAGGTTTTATGCATGGAAAATAAAGACCAAATTTTTAAGTTTTTTGATGAAATGATTGAATACATTAAAGGTCTCCACTTTGACCCCGAATACCCTATGGAGTCTTGTGTTCTTAACACCAATAGGAAAACCGGATTTTTAGGTTTCATTGTATGCATGGAGAGTGCCAAGATGATGTTTGAAGATTTGTGTGAGAAACCAGATACCAGTGTTCCATTCTTGGCACTGTACAAGATAAGCCAGGATCACATTGAGTTACTCTTCGGTCTAGTCAGGGCAAGGGGCGGATGGAATAACAACCCGTCGAGCCGCCACTTCAAAGCCGCTTACAAAAGAATTTTATGCCATTTTGAGCTGCACAAGGAAGAGAATGGCAACTGCATACCTCAAGAGCACGTTTCCATTTTGTATTGCTCAAGTGCATCGAAACATCCTGACAAGATGATAAATTTGACAGCAGGAAAAGAGGCTTTTGCAGCTACCGACCACCTTCAGACCGAGGATGATCCCGATGACCCGGATCCTGTGTTCAATGCTGACAATGCTGCGGACCATTTTTACACACTCGAGCCAGAGGAGTTGACTCTATTTGTTCAGAATGTAGTAGCTTATATAGGGGGGTTCGTCGTCAAGAGCCTTGTAACATCTGCAGCAAAGCTCAAATGCAAAGACTGTATTGCTGCCTTGACGCACGACCCTATCGAGCAACATCGGCTCCTACTAGATTCCAAAAATAGAGGAAAACTTTATGTACCTGGCAAGGATGTGGTCGCCATAGCTGAGCAATGTGAAAAAATAGTTCGCAGCATTGTTCATGCATATGACTCAAGCCTGATCTCGAGAGATTATAACAGTGTAAAACTAACTAATCAACTTATGGCAACTTACGCTGAGCCCGGTAGTCGGCGAGTATTTGAATCCCTGGATGAGCATGTTAGAGAGCAAGATCCCTTGGCAAACCACCGATATTATCTTGTACGGTGCATAGCCATGCGGTATTTTAACCTACGCTTGCACCACCTTGTCAAGCACATGATCCAGAAAGGTGATTCTACTCGTCACTACTGGAACAAGCTCATCCTCTTCAAGGGCCAGTAGTTGATCTGTCAAAAAAATGAGGAAACATGAATGGAGGAACTTGGAAGACGAGAGGCATAATTGCAATTTTCGACTAAATTTTCGAGTAAATTCAGGTATTAAAGATTTCAACTAAATCTAGTCTTAAAATATATTCTGTGAAAATTCTACTAAGACCAAAATCTAATTTTTTAGCATCAAAAAGTGAGTTTTAACTTTCTCTCTGCCATAAGATTCCATGTAATTTTGAAACTTCAAGCATTTTTTTTTTTAATGCCAAAAACTGCACTTATATGCCTTGTTCTCCAAGCCCCTCCTCAATGGTTGGTGCTTTCACAGAAAGAATATGACTATTTGGAAATGTATTCCCAAAAGATGAGTTTCTTGGAAAGCATCTCCTTGTGGAATCATTTTAGTAGGTAAATTTTGTGATATTGAGAAAAACCAGATGCATTGCATTGTGCAAAAAGGAACTAGGAGCAATCTGATGTTGCTAAGATTGTGCTATTCACGGACTCAGCAATAAAATTACTGAAATCTCGCAAAAAATTGAATAAAAAGGTTATTTTCGTCTCTAAATTAAAGTTAACTGGGAGTAGAGATAAAACTTGTTTAGATGATCAGCTTATATTTGCAAGGTAAAAAAGTTGCAGAATTCAGTGACATTGGAATACTCATAGTTCCTTTTTGCAAAATGCAATCCACATGATTGATTGCCTATTTCTTTTGATGGTTAAACTGTGATTTTTGTCTGTGTTAATGTTTTTTCGATTTTGTGACCACCACAACAGAGCTATTCAGTAATGGGCATATCATGGTGCATAACATTATCTTATTTTTTCTGGACACTCTCAGGTTCTTCATTCTGCTCTATTTATGAAACCTTGATTCATTATTCGTAATTTTTCAATTATTGTCGATTGAATCCAAATTTTTGGACTTCTATTTGAATTTACTTGTGCAATTTTTCAGCCAGTTATTTTCTTTTTTTTTCTTTTGATGGAATTTTTTTATTTTATGGAGAAAATATTTGATACCGAGTTTAAAAGATCATTTCTTAATGGTAATTTGCCTACTGAAACAGTAACTCATAAAGAGTTTAAATCTTGAAATTTTATGACCTACGTTGGAAGTGAATAATTAGCTTTATTTGACAGTGCTTTAAAAGCACCGCTTTTCCTCCTTCTTGGGAAGAATCTGAATATTCCTGACAAAGTTCACGAATATTTCATTTTTATAAAAGAGTTCTATACAAACCAAATTGATGGCTCTCCCTGTTTTACCCGCCTTTGTTCCATCCTCTTATGTTAAAGATATGATCATTGAAGTCTATGTCCACTGTAACAGTTCCCCTGGAAACAGATATAATCTTGTTACTGAAATTGTATTTTAGCTTTGTAAGTGTTCTCCATTGAGATAGAAGGTCTTTCTTTTTGTTGTTATTTTTTTCTTTCTTGTTATTATTTTTTTTTTCCTTGTTGTTACTTTATAATTAAGAAAGGAATTGTTGTTTTTCTATTTTGAAGATGTCCCACATACAAACTAGAGGTGTCAATGAGGTTCATCAACGATCCTGAATTGCATTGCTGGCCTATTAGAGGGCTGGAAAAGGAATCAATGAGCCTCTCTGGAGACCCTAGTTTGAACATGGGACGGATGCTAATCTCAGGAGTCAGGCAAGGTATTGCCAAACTTCACCTTTTCTTGTTTTTTTTTTTGGTTTCTTTTGAGTGTTCTAGCTGATTACACTTTTTTGTACCTGGGCTACCCACACGAACATGTGCTTCTGGAAAGGCCCCAGTGTTAGGGTTTTCCTTCGTTGCTATGTTTTCTTTTTAAACAAATAATGGGCTTGGAGAACAGGGCGCATAAGTGCATATTTGAAAAAGTTGAAGTATTAATGATATGTCAACTAAAACTATTCTCGAAATATATTCTGTAAAAAATTTACTCCCAAATTCCCACTTCAAAGTATCAAAAAAAGAGTTTGAGCTTTCTTTCTGCCATAAGGCTCCACATAATTTTGAGGCTTAAATCACAAATTTCTCGAAAGCAAAAACTGCACTTATGTGCCCTGTCCTCCAAGCCCCTCAAATAAATTGTATTGTAAGAATAAGTTTTTGTGAGGTACATTTATGAAAAACTTTATTAATTCAAAAAGGCTTTCAGAAATGTCCAGTACCTATTCATGTAGTTCCTGTATTTCACAGAGCTTCTTCATTTCGTTTTTTCATGCAATTAAGTACAGACTTAACTTGTTCTTTTGTTGAGTATTTACATAATTTTTCTAATTTGCCGGGCTTCTATGTAGGTTCTAAGTTGTTCCTAAAGTTTCCGAGTCTGAGTGTGTACTGTGACTATTAATTCACCACTTTGATGGCTTCACTCAATTTGTTAAGTTTTGACTGGAAAAAATGTCTCCTTCTTCATTTCTCTCTTGTTTGTAAAATTTATGATGGAGATAGATCTCATGTTTTCATGCAGCGTGCTTACCTACCTACCACCAATTAAAATGTCGTTGGTTGCTATACAAAATTTTCAACAAATACATTCAATGCTAATAAACTTACAAAATGTGTACATTTTTTACTCAAAAAGTAACTGATGGATTCAAATAAACTAAGTTAAGTGACACCATATTGCGAAGACAGGTGATATACACAAATCATGAAGTAGTAGTTTGCTTGTTACAAATTTATTTTCTTCAGCTTTTTGAACATCTGAAGCTAATGAGGCTGCAAAAAGCACACTAAAAAACATTGCCTTGTGTTTTATATCACTGGTCCTCATTGACTGAAGGTTTGTCATAATTCATCACAGCGTTTGAAAATCTTTCTTCCTTTCGTACATTTCGTTCAAAGTGACAGAAACATAGAGCTCCCGCATCGTATGTTGATACAAACGTCAATCTCCGATTAGCTCTGAATTCGCACCACTCAACAGGTTAATACATGTAGTCAGGTGGCACCACTGGTGAATGGTGACATAAACAATACTTTGACATTTGTCTCAACATACGATGCGCGAGCTCTACATACTGTGCAAAGAGATTAGCCCCTTAGGAATGATACAAAAGTAAAAAATTTCAAATTACTCAACTTATACATTAAATTTCAAGAGATCAATAATTAGATTTTGTTCTTAAATTATACTTATTTTAGGTTTGCTTGATATCATGACTTGATACTCACCTTCAGAGATTACAGAGGACACTACTACGTTACTATACATGATGATTCAATTTTTAGTATATTTCTTTGCAGCTGAAACTTGATTGACATGTTTGGTAGACAGCTAGTTACAACTTCCCTCTGGTACAGCAAGTTTCATAAAGGAACCTGAAAAATTTCATGTTGGTGATACTGGTTATTAAAAAAAAAGTTTGCTTCTTCGAAACATCCATTGACTTGAGAGAGAGACATTATTTACCTTAGCCCCTAATGCATTGAACGGAATCTTTTGAGCGTTGTTAGAGAAATCTCTCTGGATTTTGTTGTATCAAGATGGGTGAAGCACATACCGCTCATCAGATAAAAGATGTCCCAGAAAATTGATCAATGACCTTATGACTAGAACTGACAATTGATTTACAACCCCTTTCATAAAATGATGCACACTGCTATAAGTAATGCATTTCGTGAAGGAATCGCATGCATTGATTTACAACCCCTTTCATAAAATGATGCACACTGCTATAAGTAATGCAATTCGTGAAGAAATCGCATGCATTGATTTACAACCCCTTTCATAATATACCTAATGCATAATGCTATAATGCGATTCGTGAAGAAATTGCATGCATGTAGTGTGAACTGTCAGGTTCTACGCTGTGACGGAAACTAAACATAATTGCGGCAAAACTTGCTGCGATTTCCACTTACTGTTGAATGCGACTGCAAACTGGAGAAAAAGTCCGAATAAAACCGCTGTGCCTTGAGCACTAATTTCTCCTGATGGCGATGGAAAGGAACTTGCTTGTGCTTCATGATCCAAGAATACCAGTAAACCAGTAGGATCAGCAGTACTTAGCTTCGTTGACTGAAAAAAAATGCAGTTGCACTGAACTTGCACTGAACTTCCATATCACACGATAAGTCCAGAAATCTTGTTCATAGCTTATCTTCTTAATCTTTCAAACTGACTGGATGAAGATGAAGGGCACACGAACCGACTTGACATCTTTCTAATAAAGTTGGGATATGTCTTTGAACCTGCAGTTGCTCTAAAAACTCGCAAAAACGCACAGCCAAAATAGTCAAAAACAGCAAACGATGGAACACCATAACATAACCTCTCGTCATTCCTATCCGCTCCAATCCTATTGAAACCCCCATAAGCAACAGAAAAATGAACTTTATCTGAAATTACTGCCTGTTACTAAGCAAAAGTAGGTGTAATATATTAGGACGCAGACCGAACTTTCTTAATATAATCATTTTAGGCATTTAAAACACGTTTAGAAGAAGAAATAAGGAAAAATCAAGAGGACAAGTTCAAATCAAATTTCTGTTTCCCGCCCCTGGATTCCCGCCGCTCATTTACACACTCACACAAGCGCGCAGCGCCGAACCTAGCTTCACTTTTTCCCCGTGCTTTTAGATACGAGCGCTCCGTCTTTATGTCTTTGGAGGATCCTCTCGTTAGGACTTGTGCGCGAAATTCGGTAATCGGGGGTTTATTTCCAGTTCTTAAGCATACATTATGCAACGCAGCGTTTAAGCAAGCATTTTCCAGTAAATTTGGCAACGCCGCGTTTAATTATTGATTTTCCAGGAAATTTGGCAACGCCGCACCCGATCGCAGACATCCCCGGACTCG